GCCGCCGCCGCCCTCCGCCGATAGACATTTCATATTGCTTTACAATTTTATAATCATATCAAAATCGTGACAAATGTTACATTTAACAATATTTTTAAAAAGAATAAATAATACAACACAATAATATAGCTATTTACTATTTTCTAAGACTAGTAAAACTCACTTTTAATTCATAATTTATTAATCATATTGAGATTTGTTATAATTATAAATAAAATATACTCAAAGAAGAAGATCTTGTAATAATGTTGGTAATCACAAACCAACAGCAATCAGTGCATTGGTTAAGGGTACCTACACTACTGATCACTCGGTCGGCCTTACCCCTTAGTATTTAATTATTTAGAGACTGAGAAGGTTTATGTGTGCCTATCTGGCAGTCTCGATGTGGAATACACTGTTCTGCAGGGACTTAGGGGCACCCAATAAAAGAATTCTGAGATAACCTCTGGTCCTCTGGTGTTGCGAATATCCACAAGCGTCGAATCAATTAATATGACGATCCGCGGCTCGTATATCTATTCTCCTGCAACAGATCCAAATTAAGGGACTCCCTTAGTGATTGCTGTAGAACTCTCAATGTACATTAAATCTTTAATTGCACTTCGAAAATTGTTTTAGCTTTCTTTTTGACAATAATACATAAAATAACTTTGTTGGCAGTAAAGATAATATCCACCGAAAGTTGGCAATACTACTGAAAGTCACGACCTTGACATTTAGCTACATAACTTAAACTTAACAAAGAAAAACAACTTAAATACTTATAGGAAAATTTTAAGCCAAAGTGACTTTTAACCCGTGAAAATATTATTTTTTTTGTATGAAAAACTGTTATGCCATTATTATAGAAAACAAGCATGATTATTTACATTTTCAATATTTGTTTTTACGTTATTTTGTACAATTTGTCGTCATTTCATTTGAAACGCTGACGTAATTCAAGGTAAGGCGGATGACAAGCCCACAAGGTCCCAGACCTTAACAATGTCAGGGAACAAATTAATAGATTACTCGAGATTAATAATTATTAGAATTAATTGACAGAAAAGACAAAGCGGAAGGAAGAAAAAAAGTTCTCAAAACCTACAATCAAAGATTGTTAAAGTAACAATGAAATGATTTTTGCGAATTTTTCTGCTCCGCACAACTACGTTGGGGAATACTCTGTTCTCGGCGCGTTTCATAGCCTAAATTCCTTCAAGAAACGAGCATATCACATTCTCAAAGGAAACGTATTTATAGAATTGCATATGCAGATGTTCCTGGGCGTCGATGATCACCTCGGTGTCACCGATCAACTTTATACGAGTTTATACAAAACAGATTGTAGAGATAAAGGAAAAATCGGATTAACATAACGTCCTTGTTGCGTAGATGCTCTGTGAATAGGAAGCCACTTCTAGCAAGCATGCTCTATGTCACGCGTAGAGTCGGTTTATACCTACTATTTGTAGGAAATTAAACAGATCGTTGTGCATCAAATAGACCAATCTTTATCCGTTTATCTCGCACGAGGAAAAAGGTCAAATGACAAGTAAAGTTGTAACCTAGATAGATGTAATGTCAAGAGGAAGGCAATGATTACTATGTATTTTATTTATCCTCCGGCGTCTTTGAAATTCCATAGGAGGTTATCAATTCCACATGTATGTCACATGAAGTTTTCTTATTAGATAAAATAACCACTTAATTGTCCGACTTTTAAAGATTGCAAAACAACTATTTAGTTTAATTCAGAACTTAATAAAATGATTGCAAAATGATTTTTTAGTTTCAATGCTTTAATTTTTTTTAGCATATTGTGTACAAATATCTTAAAAGAACAAATACGAGCAATGAAAATGACGACAACCGTAAAAACTTTTCAGCAGACCATAATTATCTGATATTAAAATTAAATAAAATAATAAGCTTATCGCAATTAAAAATGATAATTCAAAAATGCAATAACTTAAATCTCGAGTGGAAAGATCCGACATAAATGATAATGCAACTTCCTCGCTTTTTTAATTTTAAATAATAACTTAACTTCAGCCCTTGTCAATCACTTAACTCGTCAAGTGAGTTGGAGCAAACAAAATTAATTACCTCGCCCCAATGTTAAGGTCGTCCACTGCCGAGCAATCAAAATCCTGTTTATCTGAACATATGACGACAATACGAGTAACTAATTAGTTGAACTGCTGAACAAAAAAACAGTTTTTACTACTGATGTGGATTTTAGTAATGAAAATAACTGGAATTATCTATCTATATTACCTTTTTACAATAGCTCTTCTACTACAATAGTTTTATTTATTCATTTCAACTGAAAACTGTTTCGTCACAACTCACATAACATTATCAAATAGAATATTTTATTTAACACATGAAATTATAAATTAAATGATAATTTATTATTGTAACAAACATTTACTGCAACCAGTTGTTCTACGTACAAAAATAGATGGCGCCACCTGTATTTTAAAACACGATGTGGTATTGCATGCGCCTTATCTTATGTCATTTCATGTACATACGCAAATCAGAAGATCAGAAGGTCAGAAGATAACAAATATTGTTAAAATCACTGTCTTCTTAAGTTAGTTCCTACGACGCGATTCTGAGTATATTAGCTTGCTGTCTTGTGACTAATTTTACTCAGAACTTTCACAGTAGTGTAGTTAAATTAGGTCGCTTGCGGGATAGTGACGGCCTAATTTAGCAGGTAGCCGCTTGCTGTTCTGTGACGGTTACCCGATATCTGAACATTTTTTGCATCTGCGTGTGGTTCCCAACCCGACATTGGTGTAATAACCAATAAACGACTTTTTGCCGCCTTGTTGCTGTGTTTTCTTTGGCTGTTTCGGCTCAAGATACCCCTGCTCTTATATTATATTGTTTATCTTAGTTAAAAGTTTTCAATATTATGTGCGTACAGATAGCTAAAACTACAAAAATACAGTTTGTACATTTAACAGGTTTTAATGAATCATAGATGAATTAGTTCAGGTTGTACGACCTGGCCTGCCTTTGCGAGGTCTTTGGTCAATAAATATCATAACAAATCAATTAAACAAGATAATGAGAAAATCTTTTATGTGTACAATAACCGTGAAGTGCAAGAAGTCAACTCTATTTAAAATAATTACATTTATTGAATTTATATTATTGAATATAGTTGGATAATAAGTACAATTATGTGGCAAGCTGGGGTCAATATTGTTAAAACATCCCTTGCCACTGAGTTACCCTGAGACTTCACTTTACTATTACGTTTTTCAAGTATCTTGCGTCTCTCCCTTCGCATCTAGTGCGATTAAAAGTGTTAACACTTTAACGGCTGTTCCTGACTTATCAGTAGGATAATAAATAATGGAATAGCAATGCATTTGCGCATGACGAATATTATAATCATTATAGTACATTCTTTATATAAAACACGATAAAACTAATTTAATTTTATAGTCACGAACCTTTTGACGATTTGTAAAACATGATCGGATTGCCGCAGCCATTTAAAAAAACTTATTATAACAAAACACAAAAACAAAAATTGTAGATTCTTTAGAAGCGTAAGGGCCTGTCCCACCTCTGGTTGATAGAGACTGAAAGAGAGGCTCCATTCTAGCTGTGCTCTAGGTTTGCTGGGATATGGTTCACGGTGATATTTTAATGGGGTTCATGGGCGTTGCTAGGTGGCGTGCGGTCAGCTGACCACCTCTAGAGAATAGAAAAATGTAAAATAGATATTAACACTACCTCGAATAGATTGAATCATCGCCTGGCACTGCCATGATAGCATTTGATTTCTCTCCAACTATTGGATTTCTGTACCCTTGACTACAAGTGTAGAAAAACTCTGTGTAAATCGTGATCTCGTACGTATACTGTTTGCTGAGTCTTCACAGTGGCCACTTCTGAGGAGATTTATTGAACGTTTGCCAAAAGAATATCAATAGCGATGCGCGGGAAACGATACCCACTGCTAAATTATTACCGCTAAATGTTACAGATAAAAACTGACAAACGCTACTATTTCACATAATTTATCCAACGTTTTAAATACAAGTAATATAATCAACCTCTTTGGTTGAACAGCTTTATAATTTATGGATAACTAGCTTTCGCCGCGACTCCGTCCGCGTAAAGTTAAAAAAAAAAAAACAAGTACCCTATGTGTTCTTCTAGAATATCCTCTATATACCAAATTTCATAGAAATCCGTTCATCCGTTTAGGCTACAAACTCTAACAAACATCCATCCATCTAAACATTCGCATTTATAATATTAGTATGATTAGTATGATTTTCTTCTGTTTACCGTTGTCGGCACTGTTATGTGGAAGTAAACATCAGACATAATGATTATTTTATCAAGGTTAATATACTGGCATTATTATGGTATTTTCGTCAACGAGTTTTAAGAAAAAAGCCTTGTATTTAATTACTTGGTGACCATCAATAAGCAAGTACAAAATACAGATAACTCACTAACATTATAAATTCGTTTAGATTGATAAATGTGTATATTAGACTGAAGCCTAATTCGCAAAATAGATCTCGATTACATTTGGCATAGATGTAAAGAATAATCTGGAAGAACACAGATTACTTACTTCTGTTTTGTTTTATAATGTAAAGATGACCTACCTTTAGAAGTGTCCCGAGTGAGGTCGTTCGTAGCAACTCTTTAGGAAGGATAATAACTAGGAGCAATACGCAATACGAAACTAATACTTGATTTTGTCTAGATGTCACCAAAGTCTGCACATCTTTTGGTGACATTTATATAAAAAGATACGAGCTAAGGTAAAATGCAGTAAAATACGAGCAACGGCGTCGATACTTGAAATTCTATACGTTAGTACCGTTTGGTGGATTGATGTAATATTACGTGACTTAGAGATCTTTCTTCGAACGGAGGGGTGTCTCTAGCTTGTTTGTAGTTTGAATTCAGATGTTTTATAATATTTTCAATTAGATAATTAAGTTGTAATAATGTTGACTATATAGGACTGTAAATTTACTGGACCAAGCCCAGGTCCACACGCAGCACGATGGTGATATAGGACTTTCTTACAGCACGGAGCATGTCTATCAGCGGGTGACACACAGGGCGCTAACATGAAGCCGGCACAGAAATGCAACAGCTTGTCCAAAGCTAAAAGAAGTAAGATTTTTTATAAACATCAGTACATGAAACTAGTAATCAAATTTTCCATAGAGAACGTACATATATATATCTCGCAACTGCTTTTAAATTGGAAAAAAGTGTTAAGAACTTTAAATTTAAATTGAGTATAGTAGCAAGTAAGAAACTAATAAGTAATACAAAAGTGTCTTTAATGGCATTGTCAAATAAATAATTAAATAGAGTGTGTGTTGCAGAGAAGCTAGTGACTCGGTCGACGCTAGGGATCGCCCTGACGTCGCTGGCTGTCACCGCGCTCCTTGTTGATCCTGTCGTACTTATCGCCAAATTGGTAAGTCTGCAACTATATTATTATTACTTTTGACTACTTGTTAATTTGTTACCATAGATGACAGTTGACAGTGTTTCGCATATAAGTCTTCGGTCGAATCAAAACAACTACATTATTTTCAAAAGAATGAAAATGTAACGGTTGTGGAAGATAGTGGATGTAAAATCAATTTCTTATCTTTCACATTTATGAAGTAAGCAATGATTACTTAAACCGATGAAAATACTTTACTATTTTCCTTGCAGCAACTGAAAGTGGCGCCCGGTTCAGAGATGTACAAAATGCTGACGTCAGAGATAGCTGGTGCGTACGTGTCGGCCTACCTGTTCAACATCAGCAATGCAGAGGAGTTCCTCAGCGGCGCCGACAGCCGCCTCAAGGTGCACGAGGTCGGGCCCTTCACCTACCAGTTAGTATAAACATCAATTACTTAGGAACAACAACAATTAGATAATTAAACTCGCACTCGAGGGACCACTTAACAACCTAACTGCAGCAGTTAATCTATTGCATAATTAATAAATTATATGAGATCAGAAATCAAAGTAAAAGGCAACTTGCTATTACGCGATAATTTTGTTTGTTATACATACATACATATGGTAGACGTCATCGTAGTAACATGAATTATTTGAATGATGTTGTTTACGAACAATGAACTACAAGCTTTCGCCCGCGACTGCGTCCGCGTGGAATTGTATTAAATAAAAGTAGCCTAAGTATTCTTCCACACTATCCTCTACTATGCCTAATTTCATCGAAATCCGTTCAATCGTTTTGGCTACAAACTCTAATTCATATCTATCCATTCGTCCATCGAAACTCTCGCATTTATAATATTTAATAACATTGTTTGTAGAGAGAAGCGCTACAACACGCACTTTGAGGTGGACAGCGAGGCGCGTGTGCTCCGCTACCGACCTTTCGTCAACACCACCTTCCTGCCGGAGATGTCGGTAGCGGACCCTGCAGACGTCAATGTGACCGTCGGGAACACCGCGCTGCTGGTACGTAACATACAACAGTGATACAATATGCAAAAATAACATTATTGTTCCAACGTCTGCTACTTAGAGGTCGTTGTTCGACTAAACTTTGTTTGGGGCTAGATCAAGTGGTATAGTATCTAAAACCGGTTAGTCTTTATTGTTTTGTATATTAATATTTATCGTATCGTAATCGTTAACACAAGTAAGCGAATTAAGAAATATTAATGTTGCTCATCAGGCAATAGCAACAGCGATATCTTCTCACCCATTCTGGAGTCAGCTCGGGCTGAATCTGCTGACGCGGCGGTTCGGGTCCCGCGCTGTGGTGACGCTGTCGGCGCAGGACCTGCTGTGGGGCTACCACGAGCCGCTGCTCGCCTTCGGACACACTCTCATGCCAGGATGGATTAACTTCGAAAGATTAGGTCTGCTGGACAGGGTACGATATAAGTATTTAACTAGTAAATTATAATAACAACTATAGTAACAATAGTTAATTATATTTATTGTGACAATGTAATTATTGTTCTTATTATTACAGCTATACGACAACACACGCGAGTACCAGCTGGAACTGAGCCTAGAGGATCAGACCAAGTTCCAGGTGCGCCGTGTCAATGGTCGTGCCGGACTCACCGCCTGGAGCTACAACGACGCCAACAAACGGTAATACGATATTTGAGTAAATCTGGAGCGGATATCCAAAAATGCGTTCAAGTTTTTTTTAGAGGAAGGAGAGAAGTTCATTCTTCGACCTTTTTAATAAAAGGTGGACTTGAAAGTCCCAATAATTTAACATACCTGGAAATAAAATTGCTTTTTGCAGTTCCCGCTGCAACACGTTCGAAGACACGTACGAGGGGTTCTCGTACCCGGCGGGGCTGACTCCGGAGCGGCCCATCCGGTTGTACCGCAATGTGTTCTGCCGCATGCTGGAAGTCGATTTCTCTGGCACCAGCACCCTGGACTATGGGCCCGAGGTCTACGTGTACAAGCTCAGCAACCGCACCTTCACCAGAAACCCAGACACCGAGTGCCTCTGTAGCGGCCTCGGCTGCAAAGACGGACTATCTGATCTGTCACCGTGCTTCTACAGTAATGGCCTACTTTATAGGTTTTAATACTAATTTCGCTTCTTAATGTTTAGACTTTTTATTATATGAATACTTAATTTTATAACTTTTCAAAAGATTTGCCGGTGATGATGTCCAATGCTCACTTTTACGGTGCGCCGGCTGCGGTGTATGACCGCATCGATGGCATCGCGCCCGACGAGCGCAAACATGGCGGCGTCTTCGCCATTGACCAGGTCAGTTGACAACAAATAGCTATTAAGAAATAGTAAATTATGTTTATTGCATCAAAGTGTCATATTGACTCAGGTGGTAATAAAGATTTTTTTTTGTAAATTCATGGAGTAAAATCTTTACCTTTATTTTGTATAACGCATTGATTTGCAGAAACTGGGCTCCGCGCTGCAGACGTCGATGACGTTCCAGCTAAACGTGCCCGTGGGAGACGTTGCCTATAACAAGGAGGCACGCGCCTTCGCCAACATCACCGTGCCCATCGCTTATTTTGTAGTGGTAAGACTTTATCCAGGTTTATAAACACTTTGAAAATTTTAGGGTTATTGATGTTGCTCGCATAGATCGATAAACTCATAATAAATAAGTTCTTCCTGATAATCAAGGATAACAATACCATAGGACTAGGATCTTCTACATCTGATAAACGGCCGTTAGAAATTAACTACTGAACTTGTCCAGACGCAACCCGAGGTGCCAGAAAACGTGAAGACGATATTCTGGCTGGTGTACGTCGTGGGCCCGTACGCGGTGGGCGCGCTGGCGGCGGCGCTGGGCGCGGTGGGACTGGCCCTGCTGGCGGCGGCCGCGCGGCTGCTGTGCGCGACGCCGCCGCCGCTCAGCAAGCAGGCCATAGCGCATGCGCTGCACTGCGAGCTACCACTCATCAAACACGCACACAAACAGACAAGCCTCAGTGACCATGTATAACAGTGACAGACTAGTTGGGGTCCGTGAAATAGTGATAATTAACGCTTTAATAAAGTTTATTATAGACGAGTACTTAGCCGTGTATTGCGCGCGCATTCATGTTTAATAGTTCTCAATTCGTCTGTACAATTTTTCATGCAAAATAGTGAGTTCCAAAGAATGTTTTGAAAAGTCGGTCGGAAATAAATTTCTTCTGATTCCGAGATTCCGTCCTAATATAAGTGCGGAGTGTAACGTTAAGTAGTAATAATTGTTTTTATTATTAGTAGTATGATACAGGGTGATATGCTTATTATAAGACTTGTCATGTGAATTAAACTGAGATTAACATTAATTTATCTTTATTGTGTGACTTGCCTTTCATTATACAAAATAGTAAGCCCTCATACGCACGGGTGTTTTAAAATCAATCAAAAAATTTCATACGTTCAGTGCTCAGTGTGATAAAGCGTAGCGTTTTAAAAACGCTGCCGTAACATACATGGAAATGCCTTTGTCATATTTGAACGCTTTTTCAACGCTCGTTACGCCAGTGCTAATGAGGGCTTAGAGCTATACAATCTTACTACAGAGAAAACTATGTTATCTCCACCGTTACTGTGGAACAAGTCTTATTTGTCGATTAACCAATGAAGTTGGAACGGGTCATAATTAAATAAATAAAATAAAACGAATTTTTAAAACATATATTAAAACAAATATTACATGTATTATTTATGCACATGGGGACATAAAGTCCACAAAATACACAGTAGAGGGCAACACACCCAATTCACAATAACACATAGATTATATTTAAACTGAAATTGTGCAAATGAAGACGTCATTAAAATAAGTTACTATTTAGATTTCCCTAATCAACATTTAAAATATTCTGATTCAGTCATAATAAAAGGTATTTTTGTCACTGAAATAATAAATTCTGTTCTCTTATTAATTTATCTTTTCGACGAATTTTTTTTTATTTAACAATTCTATGGTCATTTTATTATAGTCCATTAACCTATTACTGACCGTACATAAATGTAGTTCATAAGCTACCAAATTGGTAGGATTTTATTCACATAAAGACATATATTACTTAAATCCAATATCCTAAAGATACACTAATAACTATCACATAACTAAACATTACCGAGTGCAATTATTTTTCTGACAACATGGCAATTGTAAGTTTAATATCGAAATTACAAAAGATGTGGTGTGGTTTATTTATTAAATTATTTTTCATACTGAAAAGTCTTTTTTATTTCCAATAAATGAAGGTCCAAATTTTCTTTTCCATTTTCCTATTAATAATCATCGTCTAAATGGGCATTATAAAAAAGTTCATATAAAAAAGCAGGCGCTTAGCTCCAGCACACATAACAAACTCCAAAGATTCCACATTTTACTTAATTAAATATTGTTTTGATGTGAATGTTATTTTTAATATACTTCCTTTCTTCTTATTATAAGAGCAATGTTGGCATCGACAGCTACCAGCCCGCTATCTAAACATTCTGTCTACACTTTCCATTTGCACCAGTCTTGTATTAAGCCATAAGAGTGGTCCTGTACCGGCGAGGAGGGGGACAAAAGGGATAAGAGGGGGCGTGTCGCTGGGGTGAGGGCGGTGCTAGCAGGAGGAGGCGGGCGGGGGCGGCGGCGGCGGCGCCAGGAAGGCGGGCGGCGGGGGCGCCCAGGGCGGCCCGAATGGTCCGCGCCACGCCATGCCCATCATGCCTGTAATAACACATATACAATGTCAAAAATGTAAAATTGTTGAGTTGTATGTAGTGGAGCGAGCGCTACCTGGCGGCGGCGGCATGTGCGGCCCGCCCGGCATGTTGGGCCCGCCCATCTGGTTGTCGCCCTGCACAATAAAAGCAACAATTTACACATACAACTCGTCGTTAACAAATACATGATTGGTGTGGTGTGGTGCGGTGCGGTGTGGTGCACGTGCCTGGTGCAGCGGGTGCGGGTGTCGCGGCGAGGGCGGCGGCGGCGGCGGGAAGGCGGGCAGCGGCGCGCTGCCGGGCGGCGGCGGCTGGTTGTTGGCCACGCCCGCTGCAACGCAATACATGACACATTATTAACGGTAACATTCTGTAAAACGCTAGCAATCTAAGTAGGCTGCTAATTAAAGGAATGATAGGAAGTGTCACCGAGCCACGGCGCGGGCTGGCCGGCCTGCACGTGCGGCGGAGGCGGCGGCGGGAAGGCGCCGGGGGGCGGGGGCAGGGAGGCCGGCAGGTTGGCTGCAAGACAACGTCATTGATATGTTTTTATTCTGTAATACAATGTATAACGTAAGTAATGCTGTTCATGTAGAGGTCAGTGTCAGTGTCTCACCGGGCATGATGGCGCGCGGCGCCTGCGAGTTCTGGAAGAGGCCGAGGCCGGCGCGGCGCGGGCCGCCCAGCCCGCCGCCCAGCGCGCCGCCCCCGGCCCCCGGCGGCGCCTCGCCCAGCTCCGCCATCAGCGACATGTACTCCTCGTCGATCTTAGCCTGAACAACACGATCCAATCAACTCCATTGTGTTACACTGTGCAATATGTATGTGCGGTGTGCAGACGCACCTTGTTGGCGTGGTGCAGCAGCTGGCCCTGGCCGGGGCGCTTGGCGCGGCAGTCGCGCGCGATGTGCCCCGCGCCGCCGCACGACGAGCACACGATGCTGTTGGTCACGTTGGGCTTGTCCGGACACTGCACAACACAATAAGCACATAACACCCGTGTACGCAGTGGAGTGCGGTAGTGGCAGAAGGCGGTGTTACCATCCAGGTCTTGTGGTCGGTGGCGGTGCAGTTGGCGCAGCGCGGGCCGTCGTTCTCCCGCAGCGTGCCGTTCAGCTGCGCCAGCTCGCGCAGCTGCATGCGCCGCAGGTCGTTCTGCCCCTCCGGCACCTCCACACCCTGGCGGATCACCTCCTTGATCTGAAAATATACACTCTACACTGCTGTACATCACTAAAATAACAAGTATATTAGAAACACTCTTTTATACAAAACACTAAACAACCAGAAGATTGATTGTAGTTAGCCATTGTTTCCTACATTAAAGTAATCATAAATTAGAGTATATATCGCGCACCTTCTCTACGGCCTTCTTGACGCAGTCTGCGTTGGTGGCGGTGATGTAGGCGTGCAGCGGCTCGTCCTCGCCGGGCAGCGGCTGCCCGTCCTTGCGACCCACCTTACCCTCCTTCACCGAACCCTTGCCACGGATTATTATCTTGGCGCCCGTCTCCTTTTCCATAGCTGTAACATGTCACAGGAACATTTAATAACCATCACAAGATATCGACAAGTCAAAACACAAATATTAGTGTTACCTTTAAGAGTGTTCCCGCGCGGTCCTATGAGCAGGCCGACGAAGTTGATGTCGGGGTGCTCCTCTTGCGGGATCATCACCTTGTCGTGCACGCGGATGATGGGCGGCCTGACACAACACATTTATACGTCGTTACATTACTGATACCAGGGCACGCGTTTTAGGGGGCTGTTTACATCCCCAAATGGTAAAAAAGGGGGGAATAATAGAAATCTCGTCATGAACGCTAGTAACGTTAAAACTGTTACTACTTATTACACAATTTAAACTTGAGAGCGGCTTAATGTGTACATTGACGGAGGAAGAAAGCACAAGTATGGGAGTATTTGACTCTTGCGCGTAAAAGAGCCATTACAAGTTTATGGCACAGTGTGGCATTGTGAGGTGTCGTACTTGTAGTCCGGGGGCGGCTTGAACTCGGGGTTGATCTGGTGCATGCGCTGCACCAGGCGGTGGCGCTCCTCCTCCAGCTTGCGGCGCGTGCGGTACTCGCGCGTGTTCAGCCGCTTGCCGTCCGTCGAGTAGATCGGCTCCGGCGACGGCGACCTGCAACACCGCACCACTCTACACCACGCCGCTCTGAGCCGCACCCCGCGCCACTGCGACATCGACAGCATGCAACTCAACAAACAAACAGTTATATTTCCACATTAAAGTATTTGTTGGAACAAATTGAGTTGAATGTCATCGATATGTCTATACTAAAACTATAAACAAAATATAAATGCCCACTAGTGATTGCCAACGTTGTCGATATTTGTTTTTGTGAATCTTTCGCAATTTTAACTACTAATTTAAAGAAAGAGGGTTAAAGCCAATTTTGTAAAAAAAGGAATAGTTGAAACACTGAACTTGGACCAAATTTTGTTGTATAAAAAAAGTGTTAAATTTAGTAAACCACTCCACTGTAACATACCACACTCTCAAGACTCAAGCTTTCTTCTATTCATTAAAAATATATGAATAGATACAGTCTTTAAAATATAATGATCATTATAATGATAGTGCACGGTAAACCTAAGATAGACCTAAACATTTCCTAAAGCCCTGAGAAAAAAGTATTCATTATTAACCTGAAATTTTAATATTTATTAGCGCTGAAAATAATAGATTAAACTTCAGCTGAAAAAAGTTTTTAGTTATTACTGATTAGACCGATTTTATATTTTCAGTGACGGTCAGTGCATTACCTGCAAAAATGAAAACTGCACATTAGTAGGCAATTTAACTCAATTATTTGATTAATTTTATTATTGTATTCAATCAACGACGGCCGTCGATCCTGCAACCACGGATTAAATATTATTGCTATCAAGACATAGAAATTAAAAAAAAACTAAATTAACTTGCGTATGATTTCGTTTAGCTAAAATATAAAATGTAATTAAAATGATTATTGTCTATACTCAGTGGATGTTGTGGGTTGTTGGTGGTTGGTGGTGGTTGGTGGTTGGTGGTTGTTGGTGGTGGTGGTTGGTGTAAGTGGCGAACCTCTCTTCCACGTTGGCGGGGATGCCGAGGTCGCCGGAGCGCAGCTTGCGGGAGACCTCCTCGATCTGCAGCTGCACTGCAAGGCAACCGGTTAGCCGCGCGGACACAACCAATCATTAGATACGTCGCCGCACACTATACTACCTACCCTACACTACGCCTAATAACTTACATTATGAACACATTGGATATATTAAAAGAAGTATTAAAGCTGAAACAAGTTGAGTTGTCCATTATCAAATTAAGACCTAACATTCATATACTCCTGATGTAGACAGATTCTATTAATTTTCCTATTTGCTTTTCACCTTTAGAAAAGACATAATTATAATTTGAATAAGGCTTGTTAATTCCAATATTAATTGAACTTGGTTGAATTTGTTAAAACAACATTGTTACGAGTAACATTTCTAACACGGAAGCAATTTGCGAAGACAAAATCATTCGCTGCCTCGGATTGAGTCCATCTCGATATTATAATAAATGATTAAACCTGAAATCTTTGAATTATAATGATTAACTACTATTATTAATTATTTAATTAAAATATTAATTATCATAATCATTAAAATTTCATATACAACAAAAAACTGACAAACAGTAATTAATTTTCCTGAGAATGAACATAACCTGATTAAAAAGATATCATAACACACAATATAGTACAATTATAATAATAATAAAAACAACAAAAGGCTGTGATGTAGGGATAAAAATACAAAAATATAGAAATACTGTTTAAAAAAAATTCATTCCTTTTAAACAGGTTTTTTTACATTTTGTATTAAAATAGTTATATAAAATAGTCAAACATAAACATATAAACAGATATGGGAGTTCCCATATATATTTACATGTAGATGTAGGGAGTAGGATGTCAGTGTGTGTGAGGGTGGAGCGAGGCTGGAGCGAGGGTAGAGTTAGGTTGGTGTGAAGGCGGTGTGGCGAGGTACACTTACGTAGATACTGCTCCTCCTGTTCGCGTGTGAGCGTGGAGGGCAGCACGGTGGGCAGGCCGGGGATGAACGTCTTGTCGTGCTCGGAGCCCATCCAGCGCGTGCGCCGCCGCCGCGCGCGCCGCTCCGCCGCCGTCTCGCCGGGCGGTCCTGCAGACAAACATGCAAATGTATTGTCATCTAAACCTAAAAGAGGAAAAAAACTAATTGTTTGCATTAAACAGGCTTTGTTACATACAATTATACCAACGGGAATGGCATAGATATGTGGAATATTCTTTGCCACACGGTAAATTTAAGGCTGATCACTAGTACAAAAAAATACATTGTTAATTCATTAATAATATTGCATGGAACTTATAAATGGTTGATTTAAAAATTAAATTAAATTACAATAAGAAAGGAGCCACTTGTACTAAGAGCTGAAAAGTTTATAATTTCGTGTGATTTCAGTGCATGTGGTTGTTGTTAGTGTAGTGTGTGTGACTGACCCTGTCCGTCATCCTTGTCGTCGTCGGGGTGGTAGTCGTCGCGCTTCTCGCTGCGGTAGCGGGAGTCACGGGACTCGGAGCGCGCCTGCAGCTGCTCCAGCTTCTGCTGCACCGAGGTGGGCGGCGGGATGGCGGAGGCGGCGGAGAGCGCGGCCGCGGCGGCGGCGGCGGGCTGCACCGGCGCCGCCATGCGCCGCTGCGCCACAAACGTCTGTTCACGCAAGCGCCGCACAAACACGTCAGAACTTATATATTTGTAGGACCACCACTTAGGTACATAAGGTTGCTATACTATTGCCTATGGTTTATGAATACCTAAAGTGGTAACCCTAGTAAAAACATAAAAGTGACAAGCGATATAAGCTTATTCACATGAAAATTATTAAAACAAAATGTGATAATTTTTTTGACAACATAAAATGTACACTACATGGCTATTAGCAATGAAGTATTTATTAGTTTAAAATATAAAAGCAATATCTGACAATCAACAATATGATGGCGATGAATTTAATCAACAATTGAACCGTAATTTGAAATTACAACAATTTGAGTAATAATCCCCAACATTGTAATTACATATTAAACATTACAAAGTGCAGTAATCAATTGTTGATTGATTATTTGGTAAGACATCAACTGATTCTGAATAAGTACTAAAATTAAATACTTACTGTTTACATAGCTCTTGCTATATAAACTATCACAACTGTAGCTTCACACTGACAAAATTCATATTTAAATGGACATAAGTTGAAAGGGCACTTTTTAGAAAGTATGTACAATCTTTTTTTCACTAATATGTCCTTGAAATTATTAAAAGTGACATCCACTGCTTATTGTTTATATCCATCTTCCATGAGCAAGCAAGTTTTAAAGTCAACATAGTTTATTCTGTTATTTTGTCTACATTAAAATCTTTTTAATGAATTCCATCACCACCCTACAACTGTATTATTAAATACCTGTGCGACAGCAGCAGCTGCAAGTATGGCAGCCTGTGTGGCGGGATTGATGGACCCGTTTGTGGTCACCTGCCGAGAGGTCGCCTTTGTGGTTGTGCCCACCATTTGGTCTAACAGAGCTATGGTGCCATCCCTGGACAAAACACTACATTTTAAATCATACAAGTTTGTAATGACAAGACAAATTATAGCATTCACATTGTTTAAGAGCATTAAAGCTAACATTAATTGTATGTCAGTATACCTGTCTTTAGACTTCCTGCCGCGGCTGCGACTTCTGGACCGTGAGCGACTGCGTCGTTTTTCCTTATGCCTCTCCCTGCTGCGACTCCGCTCTCTCTCTTTGTCCCTAAAATATTTTATCCTTATAATAATGGCAAATTAGGTACCACAACTAATTCGCGGAAAGTGCCCAAAATTTTACCTTTTCGATCTATGTCGCTCCCTATCCCTGTCTCTGTCGCGGTCCCGGTTGCGGTCCCTGTCACGTTCGCGATCCTTGTCACGATCGCGGTCACGCTCCCGATCCCGGTCTCGATCCCTGGTCTTGTCACGTTCCTTATGGCGTTCCCGATCCCGAGACCGACTTCGGTCCCGGTGTCTTGAACTCATTTTATTACTAATGTTGAAAACTTATACACGAAAGATTTATTAAGAATGTAGAGGAAACGCTTTAAGCGCCGATATTTCACCTTTTAATTATTACCATAAATAGCGATACACACGTTTTAACTATTACATGAACATTTATTACTTTAATCAAGTTTCTAAAATCTTTAATATTGCAAAACGACACGCTCACGATATCAACAAAATGGAGATTCAGCACAGATGATACAATAACCAAACAGATGTAACCACAGACAGATAAATAATATTTTTATAATTGAAATTACAAAAAAATTTAAAAAGTAAGACTTTCGTATCAAACTTGTAATATTTATAGAGTTCTAATAATAACGGAATATATAAAACATGTAGGCGTATTTTAGGATAAGTTAAATTCCATGGATGGTTGGTTGAGTTTCGTAATTCAGACTGCGTGGTCCTGTCCAGACTAAAACTTTCACTACATTCTACGAATACAAGCTTAAACGCCTTATACTGAGAGCTTATAGTAATACTTCTTGAGAGCCATTTATATCTCGACCAGAAATACAGATTACCTGTATTTAGTTTCCTAGGGAATCTATGCCTAATAGAAATTGTGAAAAAGTAGTTATGAAGACTGTGGTTGGACGTATAGTTTAAAATATGCATTTATACTAGGTTTTCTACAAAAGCCCCTAAGTCCCTCAGGTATCTCGTCATATCGTTGAAAAGATGTGAAACTGCTGATTTATAGTAAATGTTTTTATTCAGTTTAATTTACATGATATTTTGGGATACATTAAAAATGAAAATGTTGGAAGACTTATAATACCTGTTAGCTTAGTCAAAAATGGCTAAATAATGGGGAAGTAAAAATAAAACAAATAATATGAATAAACAAACATCAGTGCTTCTTCAATATATTTAAAGATCAAAATACACTTCTTATACCATATAACAGTTCAATCATACCAAAATTACTTTGAACAATAATGAAAAAAAAAAAAATTTGCATTAAGCAATTTGTCAATTACAAATCAAAATACTAAATAGTAAATGTAACAGAGTACAAACTTAATACAATTTCTATATGTTTTTATAGAGAAATAGCAAACATTGCAGCAGCATCAGGCTGAGGGCGGTGACAATGTGACTGCCTCAAATATTAGCAAAATAAACCATATTTGTTGAACCAAAAATTTAAAAACTTATTCTAATACATTTATATTTTTAAATCTCCTTAATATTAAAATATTTCCTAGGTCTTACTAGCTATATAGTCCTGACAGACAGTTTTATGATGTCACTCCACTTATCCACATCACTACCGTTATAGAAAACTATGTTTATTGATGGGCCTTCAATTATACAATGCTGAAAACTTCCTTGTCAAATGCAACTCTCACCTTCACATACCTACAATCAGAAAATTACATTATACAAACAAAAACAGATGAAATAGATCAAAGTTTACAAGCCCACTACATAAACTCACTTGTAACTTAACTAAAACTATCAGTTTAGGCTAAATTACCTGTCAGTTGAACTGCTTAAAATTTGGCCTAAACATATACAGTTTTAACTGAACAGTTCAACACTTCTGTAACTACCGGAATTGAGTATTCATAACAGGCTTTTAGCCCATTACAGATGCTCAATTGTAACCATTCAGTTAAAACTGTCAATTACCCAGGTGTCATTGACAGTTAATCAATTTTCTACTGTAGTGACAAATTCACAAACAGACTACAACTATAAATGTAAATCAAATAGTATTTTAGATAACTCAAAATTATGTTAAGCTGAATCATTCATACATTAGCAGCTTATAATTATGTACTTGTATCAATAACTTACAATATACAGTATTATAAATTTAAAAGAAATTCACAGTTATATTGAAACAAAAGATTAAGCAATACAAATATCTTTAAAGGTGATTGAAAAAGGCTTTAAGGTCTGAGGTCCACAATAGAACAAACAAAAATGTGAAATATAGGACTATTAGTCTACACAACATGTATTTATTATGCTAATATTTCTATTTTTAATGCAACAAATGAGCCAATTCCAAAAATTCAATGAGTTACATAAGCTAGTATGAAATACAAATATATACTTTTAGTGCTGTTGTACAAGTTACAGAAGTTTGTATCAAATGAAATTTTTATATACACATTATTCAGCATATTCTTACATTAGTAGCGATGTTCATATTACATTTTTAAATATTTAATCCAGCCACTACAAGGGGACTTACTTCAGTTAAACCGGAGCTCCAGGGCCACCTTTTTTGCCGATAAGGGATTTGTGTATGTGAGGTATGACTCCACCGCCTGCAATGGTGGCCTTGATTAGACTGTCCAGCTCTTCATCTCCTCGGATAGCTAGCTGCAAATGCCGGGGGGTGATGCGTTTCACTTTTAAATCCTTGGATGCATTCCCCGCTAATTCCAATACCTGAAAAAATGATAAGGTGCATAAGGTATAGTAAACTAATTACTTTTAAATATTTCAATGTATAAACCAGCGTTTGCAAGGGATTTCGTCCGCGCGTAATTAAAAAAACTTTTAAGCTGCCTATGTAGAACACATAAGAGACATCCAGATTATATAACTCAAAATATAATTTGGTTACAAGATCTATACTAGTGTAAAAATCTTAACTAGTAAATAGCACACAAACTACAGACTTTTAGTCAACTTGTAATTTGATAAAGTCGGCCTGTAACTCCAGTCTTTTAAAACAAAATTGATGTAATATGCGCACCTCCATACGTGTTCATACTGATTATGCCCCTGAATAAATTTTAGGCCGATAAAAAGTCTGTAACGTACTCTCTTAGATTACTTAATAGAAAATAGTTTAATCCCAGGTCGCTGAAGTTTAAAACTATGCCCATCTTTATTTATCGTCATTTTCCCGCCAAATTTCTTATTTGTTGTTGTTTCTATTTAGAGACTAAACTATACTTATTGAATAGTTTTTCCCTTAAAACTTTGAATCCACATTTAAAATTCATTGTTATTTGTTGTTAAACTACGAAAGAATTAATATTTATTTTCCCGCCAAAAATGATAGACTTCAACAGTGCCTGTCAACCACAGTAGTAAACATATTATGTAAATACAACGATAAAAATTGAATATTAGAAGCTAGAAAAAACGTAAATAGATATAATAGATTTCAGAAATCATTAGTAATTGTGTATTCTAATTGCCCCACAGACCGACGCCATGTTGACAAGGCGTCGCTTGCTTACCTCGGCAGTTAGATATTCCAGAATAGCCGCTGAATATACTGCGGCCGTAGCACCAACACGGCCGTGGCTTGTTGTCCTATTTTTAAGATGTCTATGTATTCTTCCCACAGGGAACTGAAAAATGAGTCATTTATTTCTAAACATTCATTGATTATTTCCCTTTGACAATCTTAGCCGCCGCCATACTGAAGAGGTCATACGTATTATTCAATTTTATAACATTTCGATTTAGAACGAATTTGATGTATTTTTGAGACTGAAAATTCATAAAATAATTTAAAAAGGCTTATTAACATACCTGCAGTCCTGCCCTAGCCGATCGAGATACTGCTTTAGCCTTGGCTTTGCCTGAATCTTTACCCGCTTTACCACCAGCCTAAAAATCGTGAAAAAACCTATTAATTTTTGTCCTACGAAGCTGAAACTTTGCCAGGATGTAATTCACATGATGATTCATCGAAATACACAATAAAAACACGATCACAATAACTTGATTTCACAAAATCTTGTAAAACTCACCATTTTGAAACGTGTAACACACTATTACCACTACAGTGAACAACCTATACAGGAAAGGCGCCAAGCAAAATCGACAAGATTGATACAAAGATGGCAGCGCCGAGCCGCGCCACTGGCAGCGGCAACGAAGTTGGCCAATTGCAAGCGGCCGGATGTGTCGTAAAAACAAACAACTGTTCAAGCGCTAGCCAATCAGTGAACGTTAAAATGGCGGGCCTGCGCAGAGCTGCCAAGCCAAGCGGTGGAGAATCTAGAAACCATTTTTTTATAACGTTCCATTTCAACATAGCATACTTACACATGCTTTATTTGCTTTTGAAACAAATATGTTCCCAAAAAAATAATTCTTAAACGTACTAAAATTACTTGGTTTTGAAAACTTTTGGTAAACCTAAAACATAATATGCTTAAAAAATCTTTTGTCTTTGTGTTATAGCTAATTCCAAAGGTGAGTTTTATGCCTGGTTTACATTATGCCAGTAAAGTAAGCTAGTTGCGCTTACAATCATTGATTGTACACAACTAGCATAATATTTATATAGTGTTTACACTAACTGGTTTCAGTGAGCTCATATAACACATGCCAGTGCCAGGCCTATGATAATGTTCAACCTACATGATCTAGGTATAAACGTTCTCTTAATAGTAGTTAAGAAAATAAAGAAAATCTTATGTTTTTTTTTTTGGCTATTCGATAGAAATCGTCAAGCGATCGAAGATTTAATTACTTTCTTAACAATTTATTGAAATCTCACCTTAACGTCTGCAAGTCGAGTGTTTCATCCCAGGTACACGGGATCGTTTGTTACGTACCAATTCTAACCGTTTGTTTGCATAATAATAAGAACAGTTACACGGCTATGTCGAACGAATATATTACGCTTGCGTAGCAAATACATTGCGAAATTATATCGCAATGAGCAATGACGAAGCCAGAATATTTGCTAGGGAGAGGAAGATTGAAGATGGTTTTAAATCTGTTATCAATAAATACACAAAACTTCTTAGTAGCTTTACCTATAGTGTATTTTTTATTATTTCAGTTGAAGTTAAATTTAATTATGTTCTTATTGAGTACTAAAGAATAAATAATCTACGTTAACTTCGCTCCATGTTGCAAATTGTATGTTCTAAAATTTTTATGTAGGTAGTTTAGAAAAATTATGCAAGAACACAAATAAAAAAACTCCTACTACCCAAAAATTATTCATTCTTGTAAGAATCTTCTTTCTTGTAAGAAAGGTTGTAAATAAAACATGTTTTATTAGAAAATGAACACTTTATTTAAAAACACTAAAATTATCCAAATTAATTACAAAAGTTTTTGGTTGTACAATCACAGTGTTGCCATTTATATTAAATGCATATTTCAGTAGTAGTTTTCAACTTGGTATTATTTATTACACGATAAAGATATCTACATGTTTAGAAAAGATGTTTTACTGTAACTTTGATTTAAAATCATAATAAACTTTGGTTTGAAATCACGACAGTGAAACATTGAACAGTGTAAGTAGTCAATTATTAATACATTTTTATGTCACTGTATATTTTTAATGTAATACAGTATAATTTTATCGAATAATATTTAAAAGGCACACTGTTTTCTCTTCAGGACCTTAGGAAACTTAGCAAATAAAGAATCTTATAATATATCTACATTATTACTAAAATCTCAGATTTTTATTATGAATGACAAATTTGTTATTTAAAAGTATTCAATTGTTTATTTTTATTATAAAAGTTTTGTACAAAAAACATTTAAGAGGCCTCGTCGGTTAGCTCGTCGCAGCGGTCCTCCAGCTCGTACTGCGAACAAGAACATCAAGAATGTTATAATGCGTGAAACGTAACGTTTTTATAAGAAAAACAAATACTTATAGCATCTTAAAAATATCTGAAAATTAAAACTTTTAATTGCACATTCGATGCCCTATTCGCTTGGGGCGGAATGAAATGAGTGTTACCTCATCGAGCTGAAGGCACTTGCCCCATTCGGCGAGCGTGATGCGGTGGTCGTTGTCCTCGTCACAGAGGTCCAGGAATGGCCCGATGCAATGCTCCAGAGCCATCAGCGGCGCGCGGATCGGGAACAGCTCGTGACGGGATACGAATCTATCATAATATTGATGTACATTTAGAGAAGGAAGAAGAGTACTAATGAAAAAAAAAATCGTTTAGCTGTTTCATATGAAATTATAAATGTACAAAATGCTGCTCATAAAATACCTAAGTACTGTTGTATAATTACCGAAATGTAAAAAAATGATATGGTTTATCAATGTTGCAGTAAAGGGCACCTTGGTCAGGGTTTTTTAAACATTACCGATAAACTATCTCGTTATAACCTTTAAACTGATTCTCTGTTATATTACTTGACTACAACGTAAAAATCGCTCAGCAGAAGATTTTTTCTTACTATTCTATTTCTTTCATACATACGTTCCGTTTTGCGCAATAATATGATTTTATTGACCTGTCATTGTCGTGTGCGTCGAGGTCGCACCACTTCCAGATGGCGGCGTTGGTCCAGCGGCGCGTGAGGTTGGACTCCGCCTCGCGCTCCATCTGCAGGTAGTGCGGCGTCAGCTCGCGGCGCTCCGCCATGTCCCTCATAATGTTGAACAGCCAGTCGCGCATGCGCCGCGGGAAGTCCGACATCTCGCTCTCCGTGCACGCCTGATGATACAAGACTGGTAAAGTAACTGCAAGTTCTACTGTTGAAAATGGCTAAAAGTTGATTGTTTAACAGTAGCTGAACAACAAGCTGGTTTGGTCTACTTTCTACTTGTGGTGATATGCATTGGGAATGTGTGGGTACATACGGGCATCTCGCGGCAGGCGCCGTAGTAGTCGATCTGCACATGGTGGTACTGCGGGCCGCGGCACAGCTCCGAGTTGTCGAGGCAGAGGCAGCGTTGGCGGTACACCTCGCAGTCAGACGACCACGTTTCATTGTGGTGTGTGCACACCTGTTCCATACAAACAAATGCTGAATAAAGTAGCTGCATAAAACCATGCTTAACTCTCTAGTTATGAAATGTTACATGGTATATACCTTGCGGCGGGAGTCGGTCTCGTAAGGGCACTCCTTGATGCAGTTGCAGACGGCGTCTCCATGTTCGTCAATCTCGCAGACACGGCCAGCGCTGCAGTGCACCTTCAGGCAGGGGTCTGACCACATGACAAAATTTATAGTTGTCTTGATCTGATAAAGCAACTTCTAAATATTCTAGCCAACCGTTAGCACTCACCATCAATAAACACTTCGTTGTCAGAATTTCCTTCGTTTGAGTTTTCATTCAGAATTTCATTGACTCGTGCTTTCTCGGATTCCTGAAAGTAACGTTTTTATATTTGACTGCGATTCGTTACATAAAAGAAAGTGCAGATACTCGGATTCCCGCAATACATCTACATTGATGTGTAACGGTGTATAACCTGGAAACGGCGCTCGTCGAGGCGCTCCGCCATGCCCAGCTCGAGATGCTCCGCCTCGGCCTCCTCGCGCGGCGGTGCCGGCCGCTGCGGCGTCTCCGTGGTCGTCGTGCGCAGCCGCCGGTGACGACGACGGTGTTTCTGTCAACCGCATTCACTACTCAGTATCATTACAATCGATTAGCACAGATTATACAGGGTTGTTGATAGTGGAGGGCTTACCTCTGCGTCTGCGGTGCAGACGATTGCCACCAGCAGAGCCAGCAGCACCAAACGTCCCCTCATCGTATCTTAATTCTGCAAAAAACAACAAACTGTAATTTATACAGACTAAAGGTAATAAAAGCTAAATCTAACAAAAATAGAGCAGGGTCCTCATACAACATCTCGTAAATAGACATAATGTCTGTACAAATGGACGTAATTTTTTAGATTTTCAGTTCTAGTAAACGAACTAAAACTATTACATAACAGGGTTAATGAATCTTAACGGAAAAAAGTCGGTATTGCTAACGTGTTGTGTTTAAATTAAAGCAAACTGTTTTCTTATGAAAAGCAATCGTAAACAATGAGCTGCCGGCTTTTATAGCCTGTGACCTAATAAATCATGCTATAATGATGTCATCGATGATACGACAGACAGACAAACCATATTATATGTGGACACGGATTTTCGAACGAAAAGATCGTTACATCACAGCAATTTTGAAACTCAAGTAGTGGGATACTTGTGATTTACCGCTGAAGATTTAATAATTAATATATTTTCCAACCGTTTTCTATCGTAATATCAGAATAATTTTTGTTATAATTACTGACATTATCATTTTTAATGATTCATCAAAAGAAATCAACATTGACGAAAGTTTCCTGAGCACGATGTTTGTTGATATTGAGATTAGTTTACAAATATGAACGTCATTTGTTTCTAAGACAAAATAACACAACAAATAATTATACAAAAATACGGTGAATCTATTCGCTATTTCTAAATGAGTTCTTTTATTTAACTATGGCTTTGCGTGTCTATTGTTTTAGCTGATGTGAATTATTAGATTTTGCGGGAACCTAATGAACCTTTTACATATTGCGTTGTATTTCATATAGTCTAGACGGGCGGTGTAGGTACTATACGTGGGTAGCAGACCGGCGCATGCGCAAACAGTAAACATCCGCGCATCGACCGAGACTTCGTAGAAACTTCCTCAAAACTGACGGCGGTAGCCACACTCGTAAAGGTGGTTCTATTTCAGTCTACCAGGCAAACAGATGCACGGATGCAATGCAATGTATTGTTATTAAGATCTAGGTAACCTAAATACACAACGAACGTTAAATCCCAAGAAACCGTAAAGTTATTTTCACATACAATTTACGGGGAATACATAAATGACGATGTTTTTATACTTGTATAGCAACAGTTAAAACATAATATGCCATAGAGACATTAAGGATGCTCATCTTTTGTCTCTGACTAAGTATATTAGTGTTTATTGTCATAAACAAAGAGGAAAGTTACACGGATAGAGTTTACGCTCACGTCAGATTGTTTTGGAAGCTTATGTACACACGAATGGTAAGCCAACGGTTTGCTTTGAGAGAATAGATAATATTTTGATATCTAGAAACAGTTAGCGCACCAATGTGTTGTTATAAAATCATAATATTTTCATCTATGAAATTAGGAGACTAGATATTCTCTCTCCGACAACAGTTGACTATAATATAATAAATATTATTTAACTATTAACTAATAATAGTGTTTAGTTGTCATGATAGAGATTGTGCGAGCGTCGTCCTTCCAGGGCGTTGCACTCTAGGCTTACAACGCAGTATGACGGAAAGCGACCCCTACCGAACGAAACAAGAATCGAATTCATCTGAATTCTCTATATTTATGCTTGGTTTAAACTTGACGCCAGTTTGCTAGAATGCCAGTCTAGTTATTGAGAGGTACTGTCTAACTGTACTAGCCAAGTCCACTGGTAAAGTTTGAGGTTATGTCAATACATATGGACCAAAACTAAATTTTATTTCTGAGTGTTACAACGGAAAGTTGAATAATTTATTCACTTCGAATATAATAAAGGTATCAAAATGATCGTAATATGATAACTACATAGTATGACGACAGCTCTAATAAATTCCTGGAAAAGTCTGGCGTAAATCCGCGTGTCAAGTTACAGCAGCTATTGTTATAAAGAACTTGCGTGAATTTAAACATCGTCAGCAAATTCTGATTGATAGAGTTGTGCAAAATATAGAGTGTACATTAATTGAGGACAAACTAACAAAAGTGTGTTAAACCTATTTTTTATCTAAGTTGGTAGTTTTCGTATTTATATATCTGTTGTAGTTATTTTAAATTGTAAGTTAATTCAATTCGAAGTAAAAATAAAGATGAGTCGAATCTTTGTCTGGAGCTGCCGCAATAAAAACGCAAAACGCATATCGAATTTGAAATACCCGAAACATAAGACATAAGCTCAATTAACTGGAACATCAGTATCAAAGATTTGATTTGCAGATGTTATTAATTAATAATTTTGCAAAACTAGCAATAATGGTTTGATGAATTTTGCAGACGCGGGCTGATGTAACAACATGACGAATATACAAAGTACATACCGGACGACAGAAGTATGACGTCATCACTAATAATCTACATAAATATTTTTTGTCCGTTAGTTCTACTTAAAAACACAAATCATTTATTCATTTGTTTTAAATTAATTCTCATCAGACTAGTAAAAAGGTGCGTTTCATTGTTACTTGTACAGATGGCGTTACTTCTTGTACAAAAAGTACTTCTTGTTAAAATTCCATTTTAACTCGATTACCCCACCTGTACAATGAACACTTCAGCGATGTAGATATTTTTCACCTATCAAAAAGTAGCTTCAAAAATAAAATAAAATCTAATCTAATTTAAAGAATTATCAATATGTATAATTACGTGATCTTGATTAGCGCTTTATAATTTATGTACTTACTTAGAAAAATGAACCTCAACAAATTGTTAGTTACAATGTAGTTACGCACCTGTTGGCTAATTTATCTGTTTTGTGTATACTTGTTCTATTATTCTATGTAATTGTGTGATTAAATTAGCTGTTGTGTATACTTATATGAATAAATAAAAAAAATAAAAAAAAGCATTGTAACAAGTTAGCTTAATTGTACATTTTTTTAATATAAACCCTAGGGCGATTACTCTAAGCATTCGAAATATCAATATATTATTATATTTAACTCAGATACAAGCGATCTCATTTCAAAATATCTTCAGTACTTTATCAAAAATCGAAACGTACTCGGTAATAAAAATATTAAACGAAATCAGCGCCCCCAAGCTTGTGTGGCATTCCTGGAACTTCGGACATTTCACATTAAGACTTTGATTGTCTCGTGCAGAGTCTTTGTGCGTTTAGAGTCGTTATTGATGACATATATTTAAATGCATTGATTTACAGCTGCTCTGATTACTGAAGGACACAATGATTGTCTGACCGGGAGCGAGGCATACATATTTTTCTATTGACCTAAATAGCAGACACAGCCACCTCACATTTCAATTGGCGGGTGACACTCGTCGTTTAACACCGGACCTCAGTAAACACTAGTTACGAGAGGTAAGTGGCTGGAAGGCTGGTTTATTTTTATACGCTAAATATGCAGTTGGCAGTTTTGAAATCTCAGAAATGTAAAAAATGCTTTTAGTTACTGTGTATCTTATAGATAATTCAATCGAACGATAACATTTTAATTGACTATAACAAGCTTTTTTATAGTAGATTGGGAGCAAGATGGCGGATGTCATGAATATTTTTAAACATTCGATAACCCGCCGACCCGCGCACGTCCTCCTGACCGAATCTACGTATCTAAGTTGGTAACACTGAAAAATCATCATCTGTTGGGATTTTAATCATTTTATATCGAAATTGAAGTGCGTAAATAATTTTGAACGTCGTTTTAGACAGTACATTAAGTTTTTTTAAATCATAACTTGACTCGTCACCTGAATTCGTAGCAATAGTGAAGCGACCTCTGCCTTTAAAAAAAGGACTAAAAGTAGCCCTCCGGAGAAATTTAATTACTTCCACTTCACGCCACGTCGTTACTAATCAATAACACTAAGGGACTCGCCCTTGAAGGGCATTAATGAGGTATCTGTACTAAGCGAATGTTCCGATAACCATAGACTCTGAGTGCGAGTAAGTAACAAAGTAAGGCCGACAGTTTATGTTAAGGGATGTGACGCAATGTGACTTCCAGTATTTGGAAACATGGCCGCCGCCCCCTCCCTCCGCCCTGCACTACCAACCGCTTCCTACTATGATATCAACACTGATTCATTGCGAAAATAACATGTGATAATATATAACGAACTTTTGCTCGCGACTTCATCAGAGTGGAATAAATTAAAAACTGAGTATGTGTTGTTTCAAACTATGTTCTACATCTGTGCCAGATTTCATAGAAATCCGTTACCTACTAACATTGACCAATCCTTAGTTTTTGTAATTATAATATTAGTAAAATTCTTGACAATAAACCACAAGTTCAGTACTTGTGTCGCAGATAATCTTAACTTGCGCCGACTGAGACGTTCTGAAACTTAAAAACCTAGGTCTATGTTACATGTTAGGGAATCCTTACATTCCCACTACTATTGAACAATCAGGAAGCATCTTATCATACCAAATATTCGTTAAAGAAGCCTCTATTAATTTAAATATGAACGCACTCATATTATTAAATTTGTATCTAAAAGTTTACATATCTAACACTGTGTGTAGGCTTAGATTCATATTGCCGGCTATTATCAACGTATCAGTATAACTCAATCATAGGCCAGGAAATACTGTAGTCACCAAGCATTAATAACTAAAGTCTATCTAGGTCATGCTAAAGCTTTGGCGACTGTGCGGGGCCGCGCGGCTCCGTGCGGTGGGCTGCAGGGCGACGACGGAAGCCTGCTTATCAACGCCGCAGATAGCCGTATGACCCCGCATTGATAAACATGAAAAAAACACAGCTTTTTGTCGCCATTTTTATTGCGGTTATAACTGCAAATGTTCGCGGAAATCAGAGTTTTAGCGGTCAAAGTACTGAAATGAGGTCTTGTTATGAACAGACCCGTAATATGCGTGCGCCATAACATGATATGGCAAGTTGCAAGATAAACATACTTCAAATAACTCGTTTATTGACAACAATAAAAACATTACTAACACAGTAAAAACTGGAAGGGCTGTTCAGCATAAACAGTCGAAAATTGTAAAATACATATGCAAAATAATTCAAAATACCTACCATCTCCAGAGACCCACAAATATGACAAACTAGCTATCGCTCGCGACTCCGTCCACGTGTAATTAAAACAAAGTAAGTTGCCTACGTGTTCTTCCAGACTATCCGCTACATCTCTGCCAAATTTCATCGAGATCCGTTCGGCCGTTTATGTTACAAACTCTAACAAACATCCCTCCAGCCATCCATCTATCTAAACATTCGCATTTGTAGTATTAGTAAAATTTGCGACCATTTCTGTATACGTCATAATCTGTGTTAAATCTTCGACAATGGTTGAGATGAATCAAAATAATCAATAATGGTCAACAAACAGTGTCCTAAGTGAATATACAACAACAATGCGAGCGCATCAAACAAATAAATAACAAAGATAAATGTGCAACACATTCTTGTAAACTGCTAGAGATATATTCTAATGCTGTTTGCAAAATCTAATTGTTGTCTCCCTCATTCTATTTGAGAAAATAGAGACAACAATGACTTTGTATCGAAGTTTCTGCAACCTGCAGCTACATGAGGAACTACAATATTGAGGAACGTTTTCAGACAAATATAGGATTAGAGGTAAACATCCAAAAGCCTAAAACACATAAAAAGGAGGGCTTTGTGGATCTAAATTCAGATTTTGCTGTGTTCTCAATAAGCAGTGTTGCCTACTTTCAGAATTTGAATATTTTGCGTATTGTTTTATTACTAAAGATGTATTTAGAGACAAAGAAATCTTTTTTATTATTAAATTGATGCTGGTTTATCTGGAGATATGTTGTTGATATATTTATTTATCTCATTTGACTAAATTTAAATATATTTAGGTCAGGGTTCACAAGGTTTAATAACAATTTGATACACTTTACAGAGCGATAAAATTAATCGATTTTTATAAAGCTCTATCAAGTTAATTAACTGCCAGTAAAACGAGTTAAATTGGACCACACATTTGGGTGATCATATTAATTTGGTTAAATGAAAATTCGGTTTTGTATTTTCAAAACAGTTAACGAATCTCGATGAAATTTATAAATTTAACAAAGATGTCCAACATAGCTTTGAAGAAACCATAGACTTCCTTATTTTTTTATAATGACGTATACGAAGCCGCGGGCAAAATCTGGATTGTAATAATTTCTAATTACTGGGTTAGGTTTAGTAGCTATGACTTGTCTCTTCATCTTGTAAAATAGAACTTCAAATATTTTTTGCATGATACCAGATTTTAAATACATATAAATTGTTCAAAGATCCATGTTTCATTGAAAAAAAGTGATTTTCTTTATAATTGCAATAGGTGACAAAGTTAGTGTGCTTTAAGTGCAAAGTTAGCTTAACTTATCGCAATTAAATGCCGCGGAATATGATCTTTCGATAGAAAATATCGTAAAGCTAAGCTCAAGTGAATTTGAAACCAGAACTTCTTTAAAACATTTCATACAAGCTTTTCTGTAATTTAAATTATTACATCGAAACCAAGTAGACTTGCAGAAAACATTTGCCTAACAAAAGTTTTACAAGAAATACATAGAACGAAATCTTAAAATTTCACTCCATTTAGGCATCCAGAAACCTGTTTGGCACGCACCGTTTCTTCCTGTTGCCCTTATTTTTATAAGCTTTTATTAATGTATCAGTCGTGTTTTATTATTATGGGTATATCTTCCTAAACATAACTTAAAGTAGTCAAGTAAAAAAAAAAAATAAAACATGTGTTAAATCAGACCAAGGGTTACTTCATCTTTTGAAGTTGGAATATTATACCTATATTATAAATTTAGAGGAGAAAAACAAATAATAAAATGTGTTAAAATAATACTTACCGATAGATCACCTCCCGTGGAATTTCAAGTGGTGGCTGCGGGCCGAACGCGCGCTGCCGACTGGGACTGACTCCGCGCGCCGGCGCAAGCGCAGCTTCAATTTTGCTTATGTCATAACGTACGCGTATTTTTAAGGTCCTACTTATAACTGTGTTCTTTAACAATTAAAAAACATTTTTCCTACTGATTGATTTCTGTTACTGAGTCGAATTTTCCAAAAAAAACTTGAACACTGCCGTAATCGAACCGAAATCAGTTCTGATATGCACCTAGCACATCCAGCAGCTAGATTCTCAGTGTAAAATCGATACTAACGCGGAGCAAACTGCGTTCTACTTATAAAGATGATTGACTAAATTGTCTAAATTTATCTCTTAAGCTAGATAAATAACTGTAGTAAAATCTAAAATTCTAGATCTAAGATTCCTCTCCTGTAAATCCCTACAGCTGAATCAAGTTAAGCGCCATCTATATCGTAATAGTTATAACTTATTTAACAATGGTGGTTTCGAATCGGTAATTCTCAGAAATCATGGTACTCAGTGGTACCTGATACCACCTACGTTTATATCTGGGTTTTGTTTTTCCAGTTAATATTACAGTAATTGTGTAAATTCAAAGAACAAATACACAACTCCCCCTTCCTGTATTTCAAAATTTGCGATTGCTTATCGACATTTCCGCAGAACATTAGCTAGTAGGTCAAACTTGAAAATGGAATAAGCTTTAATTGCTAAATTTAAAAAGTTTTCTAAGAAAATTAGCTATCATAAGTCAGATTCTCTTTAAATCAAAGGTGTGGGTAGTTGAAATAAAACACGAGGTCTGTTACAAAAAGTACATCTCTATTATAGAGGGCAGCAGCGAGCGGGAGTCTCGCTGCTCGTCAAACATTTGTCCAAAAACCAAAAATCATCGGGACAAAGTTCAGACCCCACGGAAACGATTTCTGTATAAAAAAATTAAATCAGTGATAACACAATGTTAAATTATTGCTTAGGGACGTGGCATGGGGTCTCAACTCTGTGCTGGCTGCGGGCGGACATCGGTTTGTATAAACTATTCAATAAATTTAATGCAAGAAATAAGGGTAGATCAGTCAATAAATGTCACAACTTTGAATCAGTCTTGCGACTTGTATTACTGATTTATTTTTGTCTATTTCTATACTTTCGTTGTCTTATATTAAATATTTTATTTTGACAATCTGTTTTAAATATATGCGTCAATATTTATAGGTTTTAATGAATAATAAATACAATCAAGCTAATATAAAAAGGCGGGTGTAGATCAGATCTGAACCGGCTCAAGCTCCGAGCGACTCAACAACGAAATTGACAGCTTGCAGTTTGAAACAAATAAATCTATACAGGTAAAAATTGAGTCGAGTTGTAAGTTCACTGATTTACTTCACATATGATCTGCTAATTATCAATTTTAGTTGACCTATGACTATTTTAATTCTATGATTTCAATTTGGTTGACAACACATTTTATTTATTTAATTAGACAAACGTATAGATTTATGGGTAACGTATAGGTTTATATGGAATGGTATTATTGTTTAGGCATGTAACCGATGTCCGCCCTATGAGACGGTACTCTCAAAGTATTTACAATAAATAAGTACAGATAATTTTCAACGAGCGAAAGTGTGGCTGCAGGTCGGAGTTGCATCTCTGTACAATATACACTGATATGTATAAATGGATAGGTAATTGTTTGGAAATTACATCTTTCACGTTTCGACTTAAACGCGCCTTTTGATGTTAATGGCAGTCTTTCAATATAAATAGTTCGAAAACTCTCCACCGCGACCAACCACAACCAGACATAAAATTTCGCTGTTTATAGCCTATCCATTTATAGAGGTCAGTGATTGCGTACCACTGCTCGAAGACTTGCATATATCTAATATTTAGGAGAATAAGGGTGACAAATTATTTAAATTAGTGTTTAGACAGAAGTCTAGAGTTAGGTTTATTTAGCGTATACAATTTTTGCACAATGATACAATGTCCAATTGTTTCATGTTGTGTACATTAATTCCTTTCGTAAAAGGCAACGTAAATCTGTGATTTTAATTTTAAATGTCTTACGCAATATGTCACATGTTTGCGTCTATGAGATTATTTTGCGTAAGTCGCTTGGAGACTAAAATCGCAGATTTGCGTAGCCTTCTGTCCGAAGGGGTTTAAAAGTGAGATGCAACACCGCGCAGAAAAAGCTACGAATTCAAAAAGTATCAATTACGTCTATATAGTTACAAATATCGTACCGCGGTACCACCGCACGCCCCGGTCAAGTATAGACTACCCAGTAGTATGGTTTGCGCCTAGTCATAAACTATAATTTAAAAAAAAAAACATTACATCCCATGATACATAAAAAAAAATGAATTTCTCGAATGACTACGTTTTAATTCCAGTCATATTACAACAGCAAATTCAGTTTGAATATTTGAATAGTCAAGAGTCATTTTTGACTAGATACTTAGTAACAAAAGTCAGGTGTTGGCAAGAATTAGGATTGCAAATTAAAGTATATATTATATAACATTTTTATCATCTTAAACCTGTTATTTATTATTGTATCAATTATGGGGAAAAATAGTTTCAAAATATGTAGACAAGGGGCGGGGCTGGGGGCGGAGTTGGGGGCGGGGCGCGGTACGTTCAACCTCGGAGTTCACAAAACATAGCTCCAATATAAAATATACTATTTCAAAATATATCGGAGCTACTCTACATTCAAATGTACCAGTTCTTTATTTACAATCAAAAGTTTTTTTCACTATTTATATTTTTAGGACAATAAAAACGTGACCCCGTTTGTAATTTTAATGTCGGACAGAGCCGGAGACTAAACACTACACGTTATTGCAAAGAAATGTTCCGAAGGTAATCGGAACGAAGCTCGGGTAATCCTCATTAATAATTACAGACAGGTAGATTTAAATTAGAGAAAGTCTAAAGTTCAAATTCTAATAGAAGCTTAGATGACTGCGTACGAGAAACGCAAACACCTCGACAGTTATCCGTGCTGCTGGCGGCTACACCGGTAGAGACTTCCACAAGAAATTTATACAATCAAAACACAAACTAAATTCAAATTAGTGTTACAATTTGGACATCGGCCGCCGGAAGCACGTTACAGCGATAATGGCTTATCAGGCACACTGGGAAACCTTTTTTTCATATCAACCTTGAACAGGTGTCAAAATTTCAAGGTATTTTCTTATTCCAGCGTTGTATTGATAATTTTATGAATTCCCGAGAGTATAGGGATGTCGCAGGACGTACAGCCCTAGGACTTACTCGACTCATAAGAGCTGAATTTCAGAGATTACAAAAAAATCATATAAAATCATGGTTTCATGATTGAAGTAACGATTTTGAAACTATCAGATATTGCATGCAGTTTTTTTAAAGTTATATTAATAAATTCAATTATTGAAGAAAGTCTTAGATATTATGTAACATGTAATTTTAGTGTTATTGTCTGTGTAAAGAAACATAACGTCTATGGATAAATGTTTGGAAAACATATGAATTTGACGTCGGATTGTGCGTTGATTTTCAATTTCACGTTTGGTTTATTTTATTTTATGTTTTGTTAATATGATGAAATGTAAAAGTAACAAGCAAATTGTTAAAAATATAATACAACCCTTATACAAAATCTGATAGTTTCGAAATAAAAGTAAATGTTACATATACATAAACAAATTTAAACCAAAAAATATTCATGAACCATATTTAAAGGATATTTAAAGTCTGTGTTCAAAAACTACACAATATATTATGTTAGTTGTTTATTATCTGTAGCTCAGGTTATTAGAAAGGTCTCAAACAAATGCAATATTTTGACGTCACACAAGTCAGTACTGAGGGCCTATCTTGAATATTCATGATAACGTTCGCGTAACATTATCGACAAAATCTATTTTGTATTTGTGCCGCTACCGGACGTAAAGTACAACAGAACTTAAACAAATTTAATCGATGACGTTACGAATGCGTTCTCGCAAGTGTCACACAATTCGCGATAGACCCTCACGTGAGCGAGGAGTGTGACGTGTCGCTGATCCACGTACAAAGTGACAAATAACAAGTCTTTACAATTTGACGTTTACAATGTGTCATCGAACATTAATTTACTATCTAACTACTTAAGAAAACGAATGTGAGAAGCGATCGCGAAGCGTTAGTGTGCACGTCACGTCACCTGTCACGCCGCGTGACACCCCGCCCGCCGCGCGCAGCACGCAGCACGCACCACG